AGAAAGTTTTAATTGAATATCTTGAGACTTTTAGTTAATATATTTAAAGACTTTTTAAGACTTTCAAAATTCTGGTGTATTCAATTGAAACATTGTGATCTTTTGAAACATTGTGAACTTATAAAAAGTCTGTATGTATTCAATTGAGGCTTTTAAAGACTTTTAATAAATCGCTAAAAGTCTCAATGTATTCAATTGAAATTTTCTAAGAATTTCAATAATCCACTCGATATTCAAAGTAGAAAGACTTTATAAGACTTTTTAAATTGGATGACTTCTGGATACCTTTTTAATAAAATTACAAAGACAAAGTCTCAATAGAAATTTTCATTAAATTTGTGAGATTTTGCTATAGAAGTCTCAGTATGTCCATGGAATTGGTTAAAAGTTTCACAAACTCCACCAAAGAAGCTTACTTTATAAAATCTTAAAAAATTCTTAGAAGTCTCAGTTAAAAGATTTATATAAAGTCTTTAAAAGTATCAGTCAAATATAAGTAAATTTTTCATAAGTCTTTAAAAGTATCAGTCGGTAAAGATTTATATAAAGTCTTTAAAAGTATCAGTCAAATATAAGTAAAATTTTCATAAGTCTCTAAAATTTTTAATTAAATACACGATAAATCTAAAATTTTAAAAAGTCTCTAAAATTGAAATTGAATAATGAATACCCCACAAAATTAAAGGACAACAGTAAAAATCTCAATCAAAATTCAAATTTAACTCAACTTCACTATCTCCAATATTATCAATATAATTAAATAATATCAACCAATCATTCTTACACATCACATCAACTTTAATTCACTATTCATCCACTCACATAATTTTAACTAACTATCACTTTCAATCATTTCTCTTACTTTTATATCAAATAATCTTTAATTATTTTATTTTAAATATTATTTTAATATATCCACTAACAACTGACTATACATTTTTTTTTCAAACTTCACTATAGTTAAAAAAAAAAAAAAAAATCTAATTTTTTACTAGTTGAATTCATATCCAATCAACCCCAAAATGATCACAACAAAGCCAAAGGTTCATAAATTTTCTTGTTGGGTTTTGGCGAGTTTCCTCTCCGAGGGCAGCAACGTAAATTAGCTGTTTGTGTGCTGTGGAGAAAGCCCTAAAGAAAACCTCTCTCTCTCTCTTCACTTCAATCACTCCCTTTCTCCTTGCTTCGTTACGCTGTTCAGTTCAGAACCTCCGATCGAAATTCGCATTTTGGTATAGTTACAGTTACGCTGCTTCTCTGTGCTAATTCATACTTGTGGGTTATTTGCGTATCTCGACGTGTTGATTGCTTGTTTCTGTGTAGAGTTCAGGGGGAGTGTTTAACAATGGCGTTGAAGGTGCTGAATCCGAACGCCGAGGTGCTGAACAAGTCTCATGCACTTCACATGAACATTAACGCCGCAAAGGGCCTCCAAGATGTGCTCAAATCCAATCTCGGGCCCAAGGGAACTATTAAAATGTATTCATCTTACCTAATGTTCCTTTTTTTTGTTCCATTTTCGTTTTGGATTTGTGGATTTATAATTTGAAAATGGTATTCTCAGGCTTGTTGGTGGTGCTGGCGATATTAAGCTCACCAAGGATGGCAACACGCTCCTCAAAGAGATGGTGCGTTTTTCAGCTTGCTATCCATATTGTTCATGATTTTCTGTCAATTGTGTTGCATTATTCTTGTTGTTTAGAAAGAATGTCCAGGCATTCATGCTAACCTTGATATTTGAGTATTACTGGTTCACATGACCCGGTGATATTGTTTATCGGTCCTTTTTTTTTTTAATCTGCCATCTGTTGTGATTTCTGGCTGTATTTGGACATTATGATGACTAGTTTGTTATTCTCTACTAGCATAAGGGTGGAGGATTTTGATAGTTTGGGGTTTGGCACCAAGCATTATTATGAATTTGATAAGTGACACCATAATGCGACAATCCATGCCCTAGCACCCAGATAGTGAGCACAAAAAGAGGATAACCTAACCGTGGTACTTGTCAAATAGAAACCATGCCATGTACTTACATTTTTCTTGGAATTATTATGATTAGTAATAATTATTATGGAAAAATTAAACATATCAAACTCCTGTATGACCTCTCAAACTGTAAAAAACCTTTACCTTGCCAGGGGCGCCTTTTCGATACTGACATTAGTGATAATGTAATTCGAATGAAAAGAAATGGTCTAAATAGGTGTAACGTTCCAAATAAACTTCAAGGGGCTCAATCTCTGATATTTTCATTTCGTGGATGTATCATAGATTTTCTTTGTGCATTATTCTTGTTACTTAAAAAGGGATCTGAAGATTTAGCTTTATCATGTGTATCGGGCACCTGCTGCCCCCCATTTTGTCTAATTTGCAAATAACATGAGGATGTTAATATATGTCGTCATCCTCACAAAACGTATCATTTTGGATAATAACAGCAAATACAAAGTCCTACAGCCATAATGATAGCACGCACTGCTGTTGCTCAAGATGATACTAGTGGAGACGGTACTACTTCTACTGTCATCTTTATTGGTGAGCTTATGAAGCAATCAGAGCGGTACATTGATGAAGGTCAGCTGTAGTGTTAAATATATGTAACTATATATGTATTCAATGATGAAGCATAGTGTGCTTCTCGCATGCATTTTTATGCAACTCATTATTATTACAGAAAGAAAATTTAATAATACGCTAAGAAAAATAACCGGGAAGAATGTAACGTTGTCGACATGGGGAAGGTCTTTTCCTCTTCTGGTTGATGCAGGGAGTTGTGTCCTCAAGCTATAATGCAAACAACACCCCCCAAAAAGAAATCAACATGTCAATTTCTCCTATATAATTTTTGGTATTTACATTATTCGTTTTTCATTTATTTAGGCCACAAAATGAAGTATATGAGTCTGGATGTCAGGATGTTTTTGAAATAATAGCCATTCCATATGTTTGAAATGATTGCAATTGCTTGAAAGTTGTGAGTTTCTAGGATTTGAAATGATTGCCATTGCATATTTTGAAATAATTGCGATGGAATGTTTGTTCTGAGTTTTGGCAGCCTTAAAACTCAAGTCTCCTTCTTGCAGGAATGCATCCACGTGTTCTAGTAGATGGATTTGAAATCGCTAAAAGAGCAACACTTCAGTTTCTTGAGAAATTCAAGACTCCTGTAGTGATGGGTGATGAACCTGATAAAGAGATATTGAAGATGGTGGCGAGGACAACATTGCGGACAAAGGTTTTCTCGGCAATTATATATCAGACTTATATCAACGTCAATTTTTTTTTTTTTTTTTTTTCCATATTCATGTTGTTACTGGTCATATGCAGTTATATGA